GAAAGGATTGGATCTATTTTACAAGATGCTACATCCTAAGTACTAAGAATTAACGTAATTTCCTGATGGACCCAATGACTGGGCAAGCGCTACTATCCTCAGGTCAGATCCGGTTAAATCCAGTGAGTATCCGTTCCCCTAGGCAAGCGCTCAAAGCAATTCTACTTGAGATAAACACAGTCTGGTTTTCTATATATAATGTAAAATATCCATCATTAAAAAAATATAATTACATTAAATTAACAACCTCTATTGTCGCGACTGAGTACTTGGGTAAAAGAAACTGCCAAAAAAGTTTCCTGGATTATAAGTCGCACTCTTAGTTATGCCCTCCTAATGAAAGTCATGAGACTCATCAGCTATTTACATTTGAAACGTATAAAATTACCTCATTCCTCGATTTCTAAAGACTATTTGTGGTATTACTATTTCATTAATATTTCCCCCTGACATCATCGTAATTACTAAACATCACGGAATAACAAACACACACACACACACACACACAACACACACACACACACACACACACACACACACACACACACACACACACACACACACACACACACACACACACACACACACACACACACACACACACACACACACACACACACACACACACACACACACGTTTACGCAGGGGAAGGAATGTCGAAGTTACCCCTTGATGCATCGAAGTGACGCTAATCTCCGGTTTTCTTTGTTCCGAAAGTCAAAGAGTAGAGATACCAAATATCAGTAATTCTCTAAAAATACATTGATAAAATGAAGTATGAGGTTGTCTAGGGTTTCTTTCCAAGGGCACTAACGGTTTATTGCGCTGAATTCCTTGGGTGATAAGATATGCATTGTATGATTTGTCAAGAAGCGTGAATACTGACCCATTGTAAACGAAGATATGATATAACGATAATATATGATAACGATAATAATAATGATAGTGGTAAAATGGTAATAATGATTAAAATGATAATAACAATAATAATTAAAATGATTATTATTATCATCATTATTTCCACTATAATGATAATGAACAGAGAAATATGAGATAAAAGAAAGACCCAGCCTACACTTCCCCCGTAAAAAAAAAAAAAAAAAAAAAAAAATATATATTATACTATACACATCGACTTTAACAACATTTACAGAAAATTATTGTCCAACACCGCCAACATCTGACGTAATAGGTACAAAAGTAGAAAACCCGGCATTAGGTAATAATTCTAGCAGTACCGTATACCATGCATACTACTGTAGATATCCAACAGTTTAACTTGTAGTGTATTTTACTATGTAGTTAGATGTCACAAGGGCTTTTCGTTGTAAAATAATTACATCACATTTTTAAACACCAAGGGTCAGCGAATATTTACCAGACCTTGTTATTATTCTTGCCATTATCGTTATTACTTCACACAAAACTATGCTCTAATTATTCACAGAGCAAATGGTATTAGCAAGTTATAAAGAATGTAGTTTTAAAAATAATTATTATGTATTAAAACACCAATAGATGTAAACATAATTTTTTTTTCCTCCAAATTATAGATGTAAACATTTTTTTCCCTCCAGATAACGGTTCCAAATTATATATTAAATTATTCAATGAGATCCTGTTGGTCTGAAGGTCTATGGGCATTTTTGTGTTTTTGTTTTGCGTCATTTTTGGCAAATATTAAAATGTTCAGGGTATGTATGTGGGCATCATTACATTTCTCTAAGCTACTGAAGACAATTTTTTCAACTTCTTCAACTTTTAATAAGATATTAAATCACAAACACAACACATAAAATCTTTCATGGCCAGTGAACATAATTTAGGTTGAAGCAAAGGGCGTTTTGAAAATAATCGTAATATTTTAGGATTATAAAAGCGACCAGAAAATTTGGTTTAATCATGAGTTTTAAGTCATATTTTACTCAGGGTTTTAGTTAATGGTTTAGTTTTAAGTTTTAAAAATATCAATTACATTATTATTATATTAGATATTATCTTATATTAGATCATTATTATATTCTTATATCATATCATATCATTATCATATTTGATTATTATTGTATTGTTATATTATTTTATTATATTATTATTATATCTATTATTATATCAGATCATACTTATTTCATCAATACGAAATTATTTTATAAAAGTGAAGGAGAAAAGAAAGCACTTAAATACCTCTCTGTTCTGTGGCCGCCGACCATTGTAATAATCTTCATGGCCCCGCAGTGTCTGACACCTTTTTAGATTCAGTTGTTACTAGTTATGAATAGTGTAATGGTGCCAGTGGCCATAGGAAAAGAACATTTTATGGAAATCATGGTTGATTAAGAATGCTTGTTAGGACTTTGAGTATAATATATATAATATATATATATATATATAAGATAGAAGAGATAGATAGATATATAGATATAGAGATATAGATAATCGAGAGAGAGAGAGAGAGAGAGAGAGAGAGAGAGAGAGAGAGAGAGAGAGAGAGAGAGAGAGAGA